CCTTTGAAGCCCCACCCTGAACTTTACATTTGTTTTGTGCAATACCTTTCTGTGACAACACTAAAACCAGAGGGCTTACTTATGGACTGTCTAGCTGCCTTCATGCTCATAAATTAAAAGTGCCACTTTTAATGGGCACTGGTGTAGGACTGAGATAGGTGCTGCCTACTGTGTCCATAGTATTAATCTTGTTTGGGTTTCAGCACAGGACAAGCTCATGCCAGCTGCCTAGAAGGAATGGTTCCTCACCCACACCAGCTCCAAAATAGACCTGGTATTGCGTGGGAGAGTGCTACATAGCCAGTGCCACGCCAGGGGTGTTTTTAACAGTATACCCATGTGAACCAAGTTCTAGAGCTTGGAAATGCTTTCTGGTAGTAGGATAGACACGAGCAATCTATATCCTGTCAAGATTTATATCCTTCTTTGCTCCTTCTGATAACACTTATTGTCGGAACAACCTAAAGGCAATGGTAGGCATGAATAGCTGTGTGTGATTGATTGATTACAAGGAAAGCTCTTTGGGGTAGGGACGGGCTACTTCCCCACTCCTGCTGCAGTTTTGAAAAGGAGAATCAGGTGAGTTCAAGATCCTTGTAGAAACCATTTCACTTAATTCCTAAGTCAGTCTTTGCTCCATGATTGTAAAGCGTGCCCTTGCACACTGAGAGGACCATTTCTGTGACACGCACAGTGACCGTGATGTGAAATGAAAAAGGAACTGAGTCAAAAATTTGGAAACCACTACTGTCTGTGCAATAGTCTGCTTGTTACAAGATTTCTAAATCAATTTATATCTCAGTGCAAGGGTATGGCTGAGGGAATATAAGCTGTGCCTGAGGGAGGGACTACAATATGGGAGTGGAATTGATTTGCCTGATGACAACAAAATCTCCTAGTGAAAACCTCCATAGATTCCAGTAAAATAGAAACCCTTTCTTAACCCACTGAGAAAAATAATTTGCTTTTTATTGTTGTCCCATAGAAGGTGCTATGTGACCTTTCTGTGATTTATTTCTTATGAGCTGAAAAGTTAATATTACACAAATATATTTGTAGCAAGTACATGTGAAATTATGAGACAAAGCATAGCATCCTGAGGTGAAGGAAGAAGCCTGGAAACAGACTTAAAAATCAGAAGTGTCCTGTGATTAATGTATTCTTCAGGATAACTGCTAAGTTAATGTATATACTTACAGAACTAATTGCAAATGATCAGTGATCATTCCTTTCACAAATGTGAGGATTTCCTAATGTCATCAAGCTAGATTATGTAATCAATCCTTAGATAAACAGCTTTGGTATTTCTCACAATTACAGTCTTTAATAGTTTTTCCAAATTAATATCATTTCATTTAAAACATTTTAAACTGATTACTGCTAATCTGGAAACAGTTATCAACCCATTGTCAACTAAGAAATGAAATGCCCTTTTATACTGATTGGTAGAAGATTTTTTCAGCTCATAGAGGCTTGTGGTTTTGAGAGTTTTTTTAAATCTATAAATTAAAAACAGAATGTGACCATTTAAGGAAACATTTAACATGTATTGATATAAATATTAGTATGTAAAAATTATATTAAAGAAAAGCTGACTGTGTAAACACAGGATTCTTTATTTCATAGAATAGGCTTTTGGTAATGCAGGGATATTATCTGTGAATGTGTTATGTAAAAATCTCCTTATGATGTAAGTGCAAAAATGCTTCTTATTAAAAAAAAACCCCTCTGTAGGCTAGTAGCAGAGGAATGGCCCTCATTTTTGTACAGCAAAAATCAGCACATTGGAATGGGGTTGTGGAAAATTCCAACCTCTCACACTGAAACAAAGTTAGAGTTGCTCCTGCCACAAACCCTTATGTTATACAATACAAGTAGAAAAATAATTAAATAATAATTCTTATTATTTCTTATACTAACGTTGGTACTAGCATACATGATTCATAGGATTTTACATTGGAACCAGTGTTCTTTTTAAGTGGTTTATATGTGGATAAATCATGGAACAATACAAGTAACTGTAGTGAAATTTGTACCCTCCACAATGGTGTTTGTTCAGCATCATCTTTGAAAAAAACCCCATAGAAACTAAAAAGACCAATGTTTGCAGCTGATTGTACAAGAACTGATTGATTATTAAGGAAAAGAAACAAATAAAAAAGCATTGGCAAGTATTTTCAGCAACAAAGTCCTCAGGCAAATCCAAGTTAAATTCAAATGTTTTGTCAGGCTTTTCTACCAGATCTTTTTCTCCTTCTAAATCCTTTCTACCCATTTGAGGACCAGCTGCTCAGGACCACCCATTCACAAGTATCTCAAATGTGCCTAGCCTGTAACAAGGTCTATTACAAGCTACATAGTAGTATCTAATGCCACTTTTATAACAAAATGGCCATTTGTGATGGCCTTGACCTCCAGCCTGGATTCAGATGCAATCATGACTGAGGTGTTGGATCTTACCTTGGCTTATATATAAAGGTAGATACATGGTTTAACATATACTTGTTTATTTTGTTGTACATTTTTAGTTACTTCTTTTCTGTCATTATAGCTCACTTATTATCTCACGGTACTACTTCTCAAGTAGTATTTAATTTATTTTTCACTCCCCTGTTACACACTTAGTAGAAAGTCCTCCTTGTATTTTGTTTCTTCTTGCTTCTCCTCACTTCCATTTTCTTATCCTCACTTACAGGCAATGATATTTTACTTAAAACTGTAATTCACAGACTTGGAAAGGATCTCAGTCAAGAAATAAAATCAACCAGCGTTTGGATTAATTCAAAGACTTTGATGTAAAAATATCATTTTACTGAAAGAATTTTAATTGAGGTTTATCACACAAAGGATATGACAGAAAAGGTTCATAGACAAGATCAAGATCAGCTTTTATTTTTATTTAATATTTATAATAGTTATGCTAAAAAATACAGTTTAGGAGCAAGATCCACTGTATGGAGCCCTGCAAGAACTGAGATTTTGATCTTACAACCCCTTGAATACTGTGGCTTTAATAGTGCTACTTATAGCCTTAAAAACAGATACATTTTTTCCAGCAAGCGGTTTATTGTTTTCCCCAGTATAGTCTATATAAAGCTGCAACTGCTAGAGAATTTGATATGGGTCTCTAATAATTCTCTTATTAATTATTTCCAACCAAAGGAGATTGATACCAGCTGGAAGGAAAGTCCTTCAAAACAGGCTGTGCCTTGATTGCTGTAAATTGCTTTCCTGAGAGACAGGGAACTTGCATTAAAGTACCTGCACTGACTCAGATAGCAAGGAGTGTGCTCGAGCTGAGTATTTGAATCCTGAACTGGAGATTTTTCAGGGAAGCTTCTTCAGTTCTTTCATTTTTTGAGTATTTTTTAGAGCCCCAAAACAAAAGGAAACTTACTTCCTTGTAACTCAGTGAAACCCACCTGATTCCCAGCAGCCTAAGATAATCCTCTTTGGTTTTTTTTTTAAGTACAGACATTGAAAACCTTTTCCTTAGCAGTATTTACAATACAAAATTTTCACTTGTGAAGACAGAAACAGCTCACAAATCTGAAAAACTTTAACTTAGAAAGTGAAACAAGTGTATATTCAGAGGAACCATTAATTTGTAAATTATTATATTAGTGAATAAATAGTAACTTTCTCATCTGCAATTCAAGAATTGTTAGCTTATTTCCTGTTATGAGTTATTTTAGCTAATAGAGGTCTAGAAAAAGCATTTTATTAGATGAAAAGCACAAGAGTAGTTAGTAACCTTGGCATTTAAATGGCAAAAGAGCAAGCCTGAAGCTCTTTGAGCAACAAGAGCATTTGAGCAAAGCTTGTATGGGTGGAAGAGAGACACAAATATTGACATTTCATATGTAAATTTTATATAGAAGTGCTACTGCTGATTTGGAGACTGGTTTATGTTAACAGGATTATTATTTTTGGTCCTGTATATTAGACACTATATTGGATAACTGCCTAATCTTACTAATGTCATCCCAGTTCTTCCTTCTTCACTTCTTCATTTCTGAAATTATTCTTAGTGCTTTGTGGTAAATACTGTGTTTTCTCATGTACACTGCGTGCCTCCAAGCACAATTTGTTTTCCTATTCTCATTTAATTCCTTTGGCAAGGAAAATAGAAAAATCTGACAAGGAGTCTCAGGGCTTTTTGGAATGTGTTAAAAGTGTCTGCTTTTCTCTGGGAACAGCCCCTTTGACTGTCTCTATGTAAAGCGAAAGGGAGGATGCTGACAACACCTTTGCAATTTTAAAAGCTTGTGAGTGAGCTGTCGGGTCCTTCTAATCTTCTAGAGAGAATGGAAGGGGGTAGCTACAGATCAGAAATGCAGGACCCAGGTATTCACCTTTTCTTTTGAGCTGTGTTTCACAGACTGTGGCTATGAACATGGGTTTGCTATGATTGCAGAATAAACAGGCTTCTTTTGAATTGAGATGCTTCTGGTATAAACACAATATTACAAGAAAAAAACAGGATAAGCAGACATTACAACAAATAACACTTTTTTTTCTGTCTTTGGAAGGTGAAAGAGCTGACAAGATGAAATGTGGTTTTGTGTTAAAATAGACAACTCTGAAAAGAAAGAAATGGGGCCATAGGAGTATGTTCATGCATATTAAAACAAAATACTACCTTCTTGCTCTTGATAAGTCTGTGTGCTCAGCTCTTCCTAATCTGTCTGCCATGGACTGTAAAATAAAATTGACCTTTAGTCTCCTTGTAATTAGGTTAACAACCGCGTTTAAGAATACAATCATGTAGCAAAAATAGTCAATTTTATTTCATCTCACTGTGCTAAGTATTATCTGGCAGAATCATTGACGCTTTATCTAACAATTAATTTAGAAGGAATATCTCTTCTCATGCACAGAGGATACATATACCAGACTGCTCTTTCAGAGCTAGTAATCTATGATCTCAGTATACAGCTACAAATGTATTTTTCCCTTCAGCTGCTTTGTGGCTCAGTCACTTTCCTCTTTTCTTGCAGAATGACTCCTGGGGAAAGCAGTACTCGTACGCACTCTTCAAAGCCATGAGCCATATGCTCTGCATTGGCTATGGAGCCCGCGCCCCCGTCAGCATGTCTGACCTCTGGATTACCATGTTGAGTATGATCGTGGGGGCAACTTGTTATGCCATGTTTGTTGGTCATGCCACTGCCCTCATTCAGTCTCTGGATTCCTCACGGCGACAATATCAAGAAAAGGTAACTCATTTTCATGTAACTCCTGAAGTTTTGAAATAGATTAATGGGATGTTTTAACTGTGGAAAAGGCTGTATGAGTTTACGTGACATAATCTAGCAACATCTGAATCCCGCGGCAGATTTCATTGAACACGAAGGAATTCAGAACGCTCCATGAGCTCAACATATTCCTGCATGAACTCGCTTTCCTTAGGGAGCAGAAGGTTCTGCGTGTCACATGCACTGAATGAAATCTTGGATGTGAAACTTGCTTTAAACTCTTCTGTGAAAACTCCATCCCCTGGCTCAGACTGTGCTTTGTAGCCTTCTGCTACACTCTGTAGGTACTTGATCTAGGTAGCTTGAACAAGGGCCTTGAGCTCAGTAGCTTGGGCACATCTATACAATTTCCTGTTATTCCTTTGAATTGCAGGTTAGGGATAAACTTGAAGATGTCAAAAGAATGGCCTTTAAATGAGGACCAGACCAAATCAATTAGTTTTATTTGGAACTACCTCAGAGAAGTGCTCAGAAGAGATTTTTGTTTTACAATAGTATTGTTTGCAGGCTAATCCATTACCTGTTAGGTCCTCTCCAAGGACAAAAGAAATGGTGGCCAAAGGGTAGAAAAGTAGAGAGAATTTAGTGGGAAGAAAGGGAGTTCTTTATGAAACAGGAAGAAAAAGGTTGTTTGAGTCCATGTAGGTATGATTGGAATTAAAAAGACATAAATGGGTACCGGGTGGGAACTTTCTGGAATGAGTATTAATTGTCAGTTGTGTAATAAAAGTCAGAGGCAAGTGCGGGTGAAGCTATGACACTAGGAGATGAGGCTAGGTATGGTGGCATAAGGAAGAAAGGATCAGAATGAACCTTGGCAAGGGACAATAAGGATGTGCAGAGTTACTAAGGTGCTTAAAAGAAGTCAAAATCAGTTATTATAGTAAGTGGGGTACTGGAGAGGCCATGCCAGGAGAGAGGTCAGCTGAGCAAAGTAGTGAAATCAGAGAGTTCACCTCAGCAAATAAGAAACCCAGCCTGAGCAGTAGTATTTGGCATATGTCCATAAGAATGTCCGGAAAGGCAAATTGGACAGCAATCCCAATGTGATGTAACACAAGCCTGGGAAGAAACCTGGCAGAGAGTAAATAGAGAGGGTGACCCTGGCATCTGCTGAAGATGAAGAGGAATGGCCTGAGTTTGCTCGGCAAGAAAAACGGAGAAGTCCAAAAAAGATTTGAGTAGGAAGGACTGGGGTGTTTTCTTTACAAGCAGGCAAAGAGGAAGGAAATGAGTGTATGTGGTAGGAAAAGAGTTTACGTTTAGTTTTGTTAAGCCTGAGTCACAGCAAGACCATGGAGTCAGTATATCAGAGGCAGGGAGAAGTAAGGGATGAGCTATAAGTCCAGTAACACAAAATTTAGCCAATGGCTGACACTTTAATCTCACAGCTGTTTAAAACAGAAGTTTGCAAGCAAGAGAGCCCACGTGGTGTTATGTTGAAACTAAGTGAGAATGAGAGGTTTAGAAGGAGAGGATGAGTGAGCATTAAAACCTCTAAAAATCTGAGCTCTGTCAGTGACCATGTGAAACTGCCTAATCCATCTCAGTATAAAGTCACGGGGCTAATCCTGGTAGGTCATGTAACCCAAACTAACTGTCTTGCTGGGTCTGTTCTGCCAGCTGAAAGGGAAGTAATTTTATCAATTTATACTTGTAGGGAGCTGTGGGACAGAAACAGCTTAACCGTGGACATGAAGGAAGACATAGAGAAGGAAACCCTAAACCTAGTACAACTGCAGTTTCATTAGAGGTTAGGGTCAACATATATACACACACATACACAGATGTATGAAATCAGCAGAAATGTCACCATCCACCTGAAACCTCATCTTAATCATTATCCTCAGATCTTGCTGGCTGCAGCATAATATCACAGTGTTTTGAGCATCAGAAATATAGTGCATGTGTAAAGATACTCATATATTTTAAATTGTTGAGTAAAGCCAGTTTCATCTACGGTTTTGGTGTAAATTAAAACCCAGCAGCAGTCAAATGGTATTGATTTCTCATGTTTTCACATAACAGCAAACAAAGATATCATCCCCCCCCCTCTGTTTTTTATGTACACACTTTATTAAACATTAGCATAGAAATGTCTGGCATTTTTCAGTTCCTGCAGTTCTCAACATTTTCATTCTTCTTTTTGTTTTTACTTCTTATTTGTTTCCTGACATCAGAGGCAAAAGCATAGCATGGGAGTGACAATCAGGAATGAAAGAAATGAGCCAGAAATTGCATGTTTCTATGCTTTAGAAAAATGTTTCTCTTTTTCTGGCAGCCATTAGTATGCCAGTTATTATGGGCTAGAGCTAAAGAATGTCTTAATTAAAGAATTTTTTTCTACTGATTTCTGAGACCCTGAAGTCATATGTATATTATCAGCTATACCAACTATACTGACATGTTTGTATATTCATGCACATTGCTTTATCATAGTTTAATCATATATTTTGTAATAAATCTTTGATTATAGCCTAAGAATTATAAACCATTACTATATACTGCTAATGAATATTGTATATTTTTCTTTACTCTGTAAACTAGATAAATGGGTATTTCAAAGATCAGTTTGTGCTACCCATTTTGTCAGCATATTTTCTAAAGTACTGGCAGATAAAAATAGCTTATATTTCACTTAACTGAGACTTGAGAAAAAGGTAAAGCAAATCTCCAGCCACAGGTTTCAGAGTTTTACTATATATACTGCAGTGTCTATTTTTGCCTAGTGCATTGCTTTTTTTTCTCCGGGAATTAAAAAATTGGAGAAATCAGGAGACTGTGACTTGTTTTGATTTTTTGGGCTTAAATGCTACGATCAACTTCTTTTTTTAGTTTTACGTATATGGGATTGTGTATTTCTTGGCTCCATTGTTTTCTTTGTAAGAGTTACAGAAAATAATGTAATTAGCATGAATTGCTAGGCAACATAGAATGATAGTGGAGGTGAAGAAAGAGGTTGTTCTTTAGTTCTTCTTTGGGTAACATCATGCGAAAATCTTGTCCCCCTTTTTTTTCGACTGTTTTTTACTGCCGTAGCTAAAATAATATTCCATAAATATATCTGTGGAGTGCAACTAATGGAAGGCGAGTTCTGGTTCTTCTCACACTGAAAGCAGCTAGAAGGGACATATTTGCTGAAATAACTGTATCTTCCTCATTCAGATCCTTCCAAAGCTCAGGGTGTGCAAAACTAGAACAGTCATAATTCAAAATGGGGAAGAAATAAACATAGGAAGACAAGAGATAGCTTTCATTAAGCCAGATACATCAAACACCATCTAAGAGCACAAGCTAGGAATGTGGCCTGTGCCAAGCATTGCATGCTGAGAGAAATCAAAGTATGGTAAGAAAGCAAATATTGCTCCACGTGTTTACTCTTATGGGCCAAAGACATCATTTATCAGAGGAAATTAACAGTGATTTTAAGCTGTCAAATGTAGAAGGTGGACAATAAAATCACATACCAAGAAATTCTACAAAAAAGGGTGCATTGGTACATTCTGGTCAGTTTGAGGAAGTTCAGATGTTTTTCTGCTGAAGTGAATGGGACAGTTCTCAGAGAAAAAATACATCTCAGATTGAATGCATACATTAGATCTTGGTATCAATGAGTGAAGGCCGATAACTCGACAAAGGAGAAAGACATGTCCAAGACAGGTATACTCAATCCGTATTCCCCTTTCAGTAAGAAAGTCTGACAGACCATTCTACCTTATAAAAGGACTGAATAAATCAATAAATCAATGGCATATTAGCACTCTCCTTCCTGTCTTTGGTATAAGTCAAAGATAATGCAGTAGTAAATAAAAGTAATATTTTAAGTGATAACACCTTTGACATTTTCTAATATCTAGGAAGTCACCACATCTCAAAGACGTTTGCCTTTGCAAAGGCAACATTTCATATGCAGAACTTGTTAACAAACTAGTGTGAAACAAAGCAGCCAAATGAACAGTCACTTGACAAGGAGGTGAAGATCATTAGTTAAATACTTCCTTCAGATGTTGGCAGTTTTTAATAGGAAGATGTTCACCTAATGCTGTGGATGTCATTGAATAATCTTGATTGAAGACAGGTTAATATTTCCTCTGTTCCAGTCTGTTGTTGCATAAAATGTCCGTGAACAAAGTCACAACAACCCAATAGAGGCAAGTTTGGTAGTAGCATACAGATTGTCTCATAGTGTAAAGATCTTTAAATTGCTTTGATAAAATGACAGCTATTAGATCCGTTGTCATTATGCTATCATTTTGTATATTTAGATTTTTCTCTATTGGTAAGCAACTCAAACAACCGCACAAGGTTTCAAAAATAGAAAAAACAATCAAAGCAATTTTACCAATTGCAAGTACTAAAGAGGCATAAAATATATTTGATTCAACCTTATAGATATCAGAGGAAATGGAAAAAAAGACAGCTATTTCCATATAGTGGATGCTGTCCCAGTCATGGGAAGATATGTTAAATCATTATGAAAGCTGTGAAAGAATTCTGGGCTTGACATCAACTTCATATGTCCCAAAGGACATCTCCTAACCCTATACTCTGCTTTTATCTGATCTCTTAATTTATGTTCTTTTAGAACATCTTCAGCTAAATCAGTTTAGTTCAAAGGGAGAAAAGGACCTAAATGTACTTTTCTTCAGAGAAAAAGTAATAATTGCATATAAAGAAAATTTAAAAGCAACTTACTAATTGGCATTGTGTATTTTTACATAGAAAGCATTGGGATTTGAAGATCAGATTGCTCATTTTTCATTTCTTAAGCATCCAAAGAAATGTTTACAAATGAATAACAGAGTTAGGGCAGGAGGACAGCTTTAGATTTTGTAACACAAGGCCTTACACCAGCTTGTTGAGTCTGTCCCTCACAGCTCCAGTTTGGATATCTAAATTGTCCATGTAGTCCGTGGGAAGACACTGGACATGCATTCGCAAGAGGCAGCAAGCTCTCAGGG